TACTGCTATAAATAGGGATGAATATGGCTCACACCTGTATATTTTTAGGATTATTATTTTTTTTATGTCAGTGATACCTTTATAAGAAAAACACGGGCCAAAGCACATTTCAGTGCAGAAGACCTTCAATAGCTCTGTCTTTGAAAACCTGAATATTCATTCAGAAAAAATTAAGCACACACATATTACCAAACAAAACAGTGACATAACGCATATGACACATAATATTTACGAGAGTCGACTTCAAATAACCGGCTCAAAATGAAAAGCCCTCGAGACACAGAGACTAGAAGACAAATGTCCCGAGTAATGAAGTGCTGCAGGCAGGACATTACAAATTGATTGTCCACCAGCCATGAAGAGGAAAAAACCCCAAACAACTGTGCTTGGGTTTTTTCAAAGGAATAATTGTAAACGATATATTCAAGTTATGCAGTCTCTGAATTCCAGCGCAGTGTCCCAGTAAATCCTCAGTGAAGCACTATGAAGTACCATGCTGTTAGGGACATTTATTTTTCCAAATACAACCCCACCTTAATTCATTTGTAAATATTTCCCAACCCTGCTAATAAGCCATTTATTTATTCATAACAAAATAATCTTATTTCCAGTGAAAGGCATATAAAATTTGGGTCAATAATTTGTCTCCATCATGCCGGAAATTTAGGAGACCAGACAAAAACTGCCTGTAACAATGCAGTTACCTCTAACCAAGAGACCTTTTACTCTGGCTGTTTTGGCAGTCTGCTGCTTCTGACTGCAAAGAGCACCAAGAGAGAATCACTCCCATATTTTTAAAAGTAGGGACAAACAGGAAGTCAGAAATACAGAAGTATTCCATAGGGGGTTATAATAAGTATCATGTTTGAGCATGGCAATGCATGGATTGTTTTTTTAAAAGAACGTAAAAAGGTAAAACTTCAGGAAGACAAAAAGCCATAAATGTGATAAAAAAAGACTGCAGATTATGCCTTCACAGAGTCTAGTTAGAACAATTATGGTTGTAGCAACAGGATGGGGAAACACAAGACACAATCTAAAAGAAGAATCATTTTACTTCAAAAGGTTTCTTCTTCTGGGAAGCCAGAATATGACAGGCAATTCTAAAACTTTTGGAAGGGAAAAATAACAAGAGGAGTTGGAAAAAAAAAAAATCTTAAATTTAGTAGGAGCTGGGCTTTTAGAAACTCTTGATCTTTAAATGTGCAGTATAAAAAACTCTCCAGCCAGAAGGTTTACCAGCACTGTGTATCACTGAGTGAACCAAATCCATCTCATCCCCAAGTGTGCTGGTGACACACTTCCCCTTTGTTGTTCCGCACTTTGATCACACTGGAACAGCACTTCATGGATAATACCTATTTATACTGCCTCTGCACTCCACTTGTCTGCCTGGTACAGGATAAAGTAGTAAAAAACTGATTCCATAGCTTCCTACTCGCGGGACCACGGTTTATTCCCACCCTCGAAGGAGGGATAATTCAGAGCTATTCCCCGGGACGACACGCTGTGGGATTGCAGCCTTGCGCTGCGCAGGTAGAATCCCATGAGCACGGCTCTGTCGGAGAATATCCATAAATACCCACAGGTTCAAGGGAGGCAGTGAGGTGGCCTGCCTGCAGACACTGCCCACCTTGGGGCATTGCACATCAAAATACAAGGGGTAAGACATTTGAATGTCCTCATCCTCTACAACACGGTGTAGGGCAGGGAGGAAAGCAGGTGCACGTTTGTTAAGCAGACAACCTGCAGCCCTTCCCTCCAAGAACCCAGAACACAGACTGGGGAGCCCAGTGACTCCAGCAGTTGTTATGAACTAATTGTTAATAGAAAGAAATATCGTCTTTTAAAGTGCTGCCTTGCCAGAAAAGGTAATTTTTATTTGAATCATGACAACAGATACTAATATCAAACTGCCCTGTGCAAACAGGAGACAACTATTCAGTGATTATATGAGATGATGTGACTCCCATACTTCAAAAAAACCCAACAAAACAAATATGCAGGCGTAAGACCACCCATATAATTTATTTTATAAGTATTAAGACACCTAATTAATTTTTGGTGGGAATTACCAAAAGAACTACTGTATAAAATGCTATGGGAATTAATTAATGGCAGAGGAAAATATTTAAATTATAAATCTATAATAAAATTCCTGTATTAGGTTCTGATTCAAAGCTCATTACTATCAGTGGCAAGGGCTCGTATGGCGCTGTCATAAATGGTGGAGCTGGTGATCTTTTCCTATTATTATGTAGAAATATTTGAGAAACAGATAGAGAAACTATCTCTATCCATTAGCAATTGTGCCCGTGAAGTCAAATACGTGAAGTCAAATATGCCTCTGTGCTCCTCAAGATACCAATTAACTAACTTCTTGGTCTGTTGCTTTTAGGACCTGTGAGAACTGTGGCATATTACGAAGCAAAACAAAAAACGAGAGGCAGTAAATTATGATTAGAAAAGAGTTGAAACTAGTTCAAGGAACACTGTTTTACTTGAGAGAGTAAATATAATGCTAAGTAGCAAAACATTAACAGCATAGTCTTTGTTCAATGTGTGCTGCTCTACAAAGATTCAGCTAAAACAAAGCATGGCATTAAATTTTAGGGTTTTCTCTTTTCAAGCTCTAAGTAACACTACCATGTAGAACATTAAGCCTCTTTACAAAGTACATCAGTTCTTTCAAACCACTCAGCTTTTCATGTCATCCTCTTTGAACCAATATACACTTAAGTAATTTGTCATCTGTCTTTTGGAAGTACAAACTTATATATAAAAAAGGTATTCCTTATTATATAGTTATAGTTTTCTATTCGTACAGTAAGGACATAAAAAAACCCCAAAACATTCCATGCACGACAGCAGAGAAGAGAGTTTTGAGACAAATGCAATGTTTCCATCATTTCAAAAACATCATAGAATTGTTGCCAAGCAAGAACTCAAAAGTCAACAGTTTTTCTGCAGAGCCCTCTCTCAATCAGAGGCATGGCCGTCACGCAGACACGACTGAATTGTATTTTCTGAACTACTGCCTATTTCAGAGCCGCACAAACACAAATCTGTGCCTCAGCATTAAAAAAAAAAAAAAAAAAAAAAGGATTAACCAAACCTGTCCATGGGGAAAACAAATCTGGCACAGCGGTTACTATTAATTAGCATTCCTATTTGTTCAATACTACATCCAGTTTCCAAAGGAAGTGTGACAGGCTGAACTAATAAAATGCTACTTCTCAAAGCTGCTAACACCCTATTTCCTGGGCAAACAAGCTGCCCTTCAGTGACACACCATGCACTAGTGTTCTGGAGAGTATCAAGGTTAACTACTTCCACCTATGCATCCTGCACCTATGCACAGCCTGTCTTAAAACAAAATCAACATTTAAAAGACATTTTAAAAGGCATTTTTATTACTTTTTTTTCCTGTCAAATGAACCTAAGGAAGCAGCAGCAGAAGGGGACTGCCTGACAGATGGTCGCAAGTAAGCAGGTGACCCCTGAAGCTTTCTAGCTCTCTGAGAGTCAATTATTAATGGGGATTTCTCCTCTTACCGCCCCATCCCATGCAGAGAGGAGCAGCAGCAAAACCTCATTCAGAATGCATCCATCCCTGCTAAGTGACTCGGGGAAGCAGTAAATCAGCAGCGGTGAGCAGATGGTGCGAGCGGCTCGGGAGCGGGAGGGCAGCGGAGAGGAGCAAAGCGAGCCCGCGGAGACGGCGTGTCCGAGGAGCCAAGCACAGCGCTCACTAACCCGAGCTCTCGCTGAGACAGACCGTGGGAGCCGCAGATCGCCCGTGCTCTGCATCCCCACCGCTTTGTTTATCGGAAAATATTCAAAATGGAAACCTGACTCCACTTCTAAAAATAGCCGAATTTAGTCCGATTCAACTTGAAGTCCCGCTGCCGAAGTGTGTGACAACGGTGAGCAAATACCTCGTCTTATCTCCAAAAGGCAGCATGTCAAGCCAAAGAGGGGAGAAAAGCCCCGACGAGCTCTTCAGGTCCTCGACATCGGGCTCTTCGCAAGGACCGACAGCCAGAAGGGGCGAGCGCCGAGCGGCCGCCCCCGAGCAGCGGCGGAGCCCGGCGGCCCCGCGCCGCCCCCTGCCGGCAGCCACCCCTCCCTGCCCGGGGCTGTGCCCGGGGCTGTGCCCTCGCTCCCCCCGGGCAGCGACCCCTCCCTGCCCGGGGCTGTGCCCCCGCTCCCCCCGGGCAGCCACCCCTCCCTGCCCGGGGCTGTGCCCCCGCTCCCCCCGGGCAGCGACCCCTCCCTGCCCGGGGCTGTGCCCCTGCTCCCCTCCCGCAGTCCCGGGGTCAGCACGGCGTCCGTGAGGCGCTCGCCCCCCTGCTCGGGCGGAGCTCCGCTCTCGAATGCACCGCGCACGGCTCGTCGGCTCCCTCGGCACTTAACCCGTGGCCCTCGCCCCGCCGGGGGCCGCCCAGATGTCAGAAGAGGTGACGAGCCCACAGGGTGACGGAGCTCTTGAAGAGCAGCGCTTTGTTTTGAGCTGACTAAGTACTGACATAACCCACCCTCCACAAGACATCAGATGCTGTCTGAGGCTACTACCTACTTCGCAGGGCTGGGAAATACATACTTGCTTGCTACTCACGAGAAGTTGGCTATGGCTGTTTTAAAGCGAGGAAAAACAAAAAAAAATAACTAGGAGTCCAGGGCAGGGAGCTCCAGGCTGGGATCGCGTCACTGACCGGCTCCCGGTGCCGGGCGGGCGCTTCCCAGCGGAGCGGCCGCGGGCCGGGGGCTGCAGGCGAGAGTCCCCGGGGAAGCGCCGCATGTGCCCGTCGGTGGCAGCCGAACGGGGCTGCTGCGCGCTGCTTTCAGTTTTTGCTCTTTCGAGGGTGGGGGCGGCGGGAGGGGACCTGGGGGAGTCGCTTCTTTTTATTTTCTTTGGAGACAGCAAAGGGAAATGGGAAAGAGCGAGCTTTCGCTGGGAAGAAAGGGACTGCCCCTATCCGCCTCCGCTCCGGTCTTACCTTGTAGCTTTCCTAACAAAGTAAGAGCGGGTAAAGTCGCCGTGATCGTCCAGCCACGCTTCCACCGCTTCCTGCTCGGGCGGGGGGGCAGAGCAGCGCTCCATGCTCCCGCCGCCGCTCTGCCGCCTCCTGCCGCGGCTGCCGGCGCTGCCTTCCCCCCGGCCCGGCCCGGCCCTCCTCCACTGCCGGTGCCCGGGGCTCCCACCCGTGCCTGCGCCGCTCTCCCAGGTGTGCGGCCGGCAGGAAACCCGGTGCGCGGCACCTCAGCGCATCTCCGGCCCGGCCGCCGGTCCCGCCGCGGGCACAGCCGGCTCCACCTCCGCCGCGGCCCCGCCTGCCTCCAAAAAGTGGGAAATCGGGTGTCACTTCGGAGTGGTTCGCTGCGGGGTGTCAATATGTGATCTTTGACAGACCCAGACCTCAGTCTGGGTATGAGTGCTAAAGCCCTGGCTTTTCAATCCTTCATGCCTACAGTGTGGCTCTTAGATGCCTTTCTGACATTTAATAAGCACAGCCTAGCTCTGAAGATGCTCAGCTCACAGCTCCTACTTTCTCTAAAATTAGACAGCTAGGACTGAATTTTTGGTTAATGTTGAGCATCACTTTCATGTATTCTAGTTCCATTCTAAGGTGTGCACATACCCCCATTTATAATAATTTATACTCTGCGTTCACAATAGGCATCTCACAAAGTAGGATGCACATCCAAGGCTTCCTGTGTCATCACATGCAGTGTCTTTGAAGGTAAGATAACATATATGAAATGTTCTCTGCTGCTCTTAACCCCCTTTCAGGCATATATAGACTCGATTTATAGAGAGGTGGGATTCTGCAGCCTGGGAAGGGGTATCAACAGGAACTTCACAGCAAAGGGATTAAAAGCCTGTCCATAAGCTCGGGGGAAAAGTTTTGTCTTCTGTGTTTTTATGTCACATCTGTGCATAGCACTCACTTGGACATGTGTGGGGTTTATCTTCTGTGTCTTTATGTCACATCCGTGCACAGCACTCACTTGGACACGTGTGGGTTTTGGCTATGAGTGTTTCTGTGAAATATGAGGCACACAGAAAGGGGGGGTTTATATGAACATTGCTCTGCAATAAAGAGGATCTCAAGACAAATAATGTGCACGGTGACCAGAGAGCAAATATGAAGGCAAAGCATAAGCCAGTTACATGCTGCATGAGTCAAGCTGCTACTCAAGGCAGAGACAAATGTTTCAGCAGGGAAATACAGAATTACCAAGCAAACTGCATAAACAGACAACATGGCAATAAATGAAGCAGATGTTCAGTGTCAAAACCTGGAAAGAGTAGTATGTTAGAAAAAAAAGAAAAGAAACCTGTCTTGTAACTCGTAGAATTCTACATTAACCATTTCATTTCAGGAAAAGGGTTTTGAGGCAATAAAAGCTCTTAAGCTAGGCAAAGCTTTTGGGAAATAACACTGTGTTAAAATGCTAAAGTATAATAACAATGTAAAACATACAGTTATATGATGCAGATTTTATAAGTATCTGAAATGCCATTCCCTGAAGGATCTCATGGAATACTGATCATCCCATCTCAAAAAGTAATTGCAGAATCATTGGAGGTGATCTAGACAGGAAAAACAAGGAGGACCAAACACATGGAAATATCTTTTCTGTAAAGAGGCAGAAGGAGTTTGTTTACAAAAGGACAAATACAAATATATAATTTAATTACTAGTATTTAAAAACTAAGATAAGATTTTCTCTCTGTCTCATAGGAGAATAACAAGGTAATGGTCAATGAAATTATGTCAGCTGCAATACATAGCATCTCATTTCATGTAATTAGGAGTAGCACTAATAGAAATAAGCATTTATACTGTAGTACCATCCAGTAAGCCACAGTCAGGAACAGAGGTTTTGCTGAGCACTGTAAACATATAATATTAAATACCAGGCCAGCTGAGACAGATACAGCATCCCTGTGCCTCCTGCCACAAGGAACTGGGACTGTGGGTGCTGGGGCTGTTATTTGCCTGCAGATAAGAATCAGTAAAGCCAATGCAAACGATTATCTTCCTGTGAATGCAGTGGCAAAGCAGCAGTTCAAAGGATTGCTACCCGAGCAAAGAATAGCATAGTCTTTCCCAAAAGAAAAATGGAACAGCTGGGGGGGAAAAAAGGATATTTTCTCTGTATCCGATGAATTTCCATGAATAATAATGAACATGCTGTTTTCAGTTTTAAGGTGACAGGAGGGGATGAAGGCCAAACATAACAAAGAATGAACGGTAAAAGTGGAAAAAGTCTTCTGTAATTTTGGCTTCCAAAGTGCTCCGAAAAAGCTCCGTGTACCTTAGCACTCGCCCAGCTTTCCAGTTTGTTTCTGAACTCAGAGGACAGAATTGGTGTAGAGCAGCTATAAACCTGAAAAGGGGTTGGCATACAAATAAAAATGTCCAGTGCAGGTTTAGGAGCTGGTTGGGAGGTCAGTGTCAAAGCCAGGATGCTTTTCCATCAGTAGACCATGCTACAGCAGGACTGGTTGATGCAAAAGCTTTTTAGCTGAAATCTTCCATTTGATGTTTCACAAATATTGTCGTGTAAGGAGACAAGAAAGTGGGATTTTTGTGTGTGTCCAAGGCACATACATTAGAAATGCTGCTAACTCAGGATAATTACTAAGGACAAATATGGAAGTATGTAACTGGAGAAGAAGTGTTTATGTGATATTTTATGCTCAAAACTTGTTTGAAAGTAATGTGATTCTGTATCATTTCCCTTTAAAAGAGAAGAAAATAAGGTTTCAGATGTCACCATAGTTAACTTGTCTGACTTACTCATTAGATGAACTGGAGCAGAATTTAGCTTTGCTAAGAAGTGGGAATTGGCTGTCTTTCTACTATCCCTTGAATCTGGAAAACAGTTGGTCCATTTTGGCTCCTAAATCAAGGTAAGGGCTGTACTATATTGCCAGTGAGGGTAGAATATGATAAGGCAGAGGAAAGTATTCCTCTTGTTTATTAGCCAGCACTTTTACACACACGTGCAAACACACACAGTGAAGAATCCCAGTACTAGTAAAGCAAGTTTCCATTTCCCTTCCATTGTATAAGTCGCATAAAGAGAGTGTAACAGCAACCAAAATCCAATTAATTTAAAATCTGATTGTTATTTTGTGATGAAAATACTAACTGATGAAAAAGTCTTATCAGTTTATGCTCTCAGTCCTTTCCAAATAATTGCTGGAAATGCTTCCCAAATAAACATGGCCGTGCAGAGCTACTCACTCATTGCATAACCCGCCTTCCCCTCTGGGATAGCAGTGCATATGTCCTGCAGGAAGCCATGGAAAATAGTAGCTTCCTCCTATTTTGATTTGGATGTGATTGAGCACTTGCGTCAATCAAAGGACCGTGTGAAATTATTGTTAACCTCGGGAAAGCAGCAGCTTCTCAGAGCTGGTGGTGATACACGGACATTCGTCTGGGAAATACTAACTTCATCCCTGAAAATTGTCACTTAGGATTTGAGTTTAATATATTAGCATTTAATATGCCAACTGACCAGTATGCTCAAATTTTAACCTTTTCCAACTTCTGTTGGAACTCTCGGGATAAGTTGGAAAACTCGGCCTTCTTTTCTTAAAGCTAAGTAGTGCCACATCTTTAAGTTCTTCCTTGAACATCATCAGGTTTTCCAGCCCTCTGATCACTTTTTTCCACTTCTGATGTTTTCTTAATTGTCTCTACCATTCCTGCTGTGTCTCCCCAAGCTGGGATCAAGTAATCCAGCTGAACACATATCGATGCTACGTGAAGTGGAAGGGATATTTTGGGTACCTTGCAGGCTCTATTCCTGCTAATACAGTCAGCCTTGGATATGCCTTCTTGGCAATAGCCTGGTTTTGTTGACTCGTGGTCACCATCTGTGCTCTCTGTTCCCTTTTTAAATACTTGCCTTGTATTTAAATATATTTATACCATGTACTCAGGTGTTATCTGAGCACCTGTTTACCTCTGCCTAACTGTATTTTCTTGAAATGCCTACTTTTATGATGATCTCCTCATGTTTTTTCTGATAAAAGCCATGGAACCTCACCCAGCATTCAGCATTAATGCAAGGTTTTTGTTGTTTTTACACAGGTATTTAAAATCCAGCATGTCCCCAAGTATGTTGCTCACAGTTTTCCTTGCTAATGAACATTTCTGCTGTTTTTCCTTTCTATCTATCTATCTATCTATCTATCTATCTATCTATCTATCTATCTA